ACATAAATCTCACAGTCTTCCAAACTCCCACTTCTTTGGTCGATAGTCGTTTCTTACATGAAGTGGCAGAGCGGTTCTATTGGAATTAAATTGTATAGTTTGTATTTATTTAGCCGATATTTGTACTTAGATTTACACAGGGCCCATATATATTAACCACCAGGTCAATTCTTGTATATATACTCTGTATTATGGAATGAGAGGCAAGGGAAAAATTACCCTAATTAATTTATCATGGTATCAAAGCCTACTGTTCGACATACCCGCTGCGTTTAAAACATGAACATCGTTCGTTAGCTTCTGAAAATTGTTGGCTAGGGTAAGTTGGTGCACCAGCGTTGTAGCCTTCTGGTTTCCATGTCTGGCGATGAAAAAAACGATGTAACTTCTCCGTATTACTTGGGCTTTGGAGATCAACCGGGTAATGTCATAACTCATGTGATTCTCACTGGCGAGAATTACGTGGCCCCGGTCCAGAGCTATCACACTTTCTTTGAAGGACAGGAGAAAATTTCCATTTGTGGATGGAACGATCAAAAAGCTGAGAGAGGCAACGAAGGTGCTGAATTGGGAGACAATAAGCCCCATGATTGCGTCATGGATACTCCAAAGCATCGATAGGAAGATAGCAACGACCATACCTTACCATGTTGAGGCCAAACCACTTTGGGACTATTTGGAGAAAAGATATTGTGTTGCCAACGGTCATAGACTTCAGCAACTGCACGTGAACATCATTGGGTGTCGCCAGACGAAGGGAATGAGTATAGATGACTACTTGAATCAACTCATGTCGCTCTATGATGAATTTAACCGTCTGAAGCCGCTTCATGCTTGTAGTTGTGGAGCTTGTACATGTGACGTGGTCGAAAAATTTGCAGCGGATAGAGAGGAAGAAAAACTCCATCAGTTCTTGATTGGCGTGGATGATGAGTATTACTCCGTTACTCGTTCTAACTTGCTGTCTCAAACGACTCCAGTCACATCAAGCCATGGTTCAAGAAGAAAAGTCCAGAGACATTGCTACAGGAAAGGCGTTGCAAGAGGATCCTCATGCTTTCGCGTTACGGGCAGAGCAGCCTAACTTCAGAGCCAATCGAGTGGATAAAAACAAGTTGGTGTGAAGTCACTGCAAACAGAAGGGCCATGAGGTGGGAAATTGTTTTATGTTACACGGCTATCCAGACTGGTGGGCAGAGCGAAACCGTGGTAGTAAAGGGCATCAATTTGGACGTGGGATATCGGGATCCTCACATGGTGGAAAAGGGTGGCACATGCAAACGCAGTTCTGGACGAAGAACTCAAAGCGGGGAACGATGGACCCATAGGACAATTCAAGCATGAGCAAGTGTAATCACTTCTCAATCCTTAATCATTCTGATGAAAAAGTTACTGATCGCATGAGTGGTAAGATTGTATCTTCCTAGATCCTTGATAACGGGGCCACACATCACGTTACCGGTAATATTAATTTTCTCACCAATTTTAAGCATGTTGAGCACTGGACGGTTGGTTTACCTAACGGCCAGAGGGTTGCGGCCAAGATGGTTGGAGATGTTTGTTTATATGAGCATCTTACTTTGAAAAATGTGTTGTGTGTCCCACACTTGACGTGTAACCTTATTTCTGTTGCACAACTCATTGATGATTCGAAATGTCTTGTTAAATCCACTGATAATTTGTGTGCTATACAGGACCAACTCTCAGGGGACCTGATTGGAGCCGGTGAGAGACGTGATGGACTCTACTACTTCCGAAGTATTCCTAGAATTCAATTGATAGCAGGTTCGAAGTGTGGGATTTTTGATCTGTGGCGTAGGCGGTTGGGTCATCCCTCAAATAGAGTTCTCAAGTTAGTACCTGTTGTTGATTGTATTTCAGATAGCAAAACATTATATAAGCCATGTGTGGCATGTCCCATGGCCAAGAAAACTCGTGACAGTTTTCCTATTAGTGAAAATAAAGCGACTAGTATTTTTGAATTATTACATTGCGATTTATGGGGCCCTAATCGTACTCCTTCACCTTGTGATGTTGTTTATTTTTTGACAATTGTGGCTGATTTTTCTCGTGCTGTCTGAGTGTATCTTTTTTGTGCTAAGAGTGAAGTGCACAAAGTTTTTTGCTCGTTTTTAGCTATGGTGGAACGACAATTTGAAACTTCTGTTAAGACTGTTCGTACTGATAATGGTACGGAATTTATTTATATGGTTGATTTTTTTGCTACTCATGGTATTTTATTCCAAACCTCGTGTGTTGGAACGCCTCAGCAAAACAGATGGGTGGAACGAAAACATCAACGTATCTGTAATGTTGCTCGTGTTTTCATGTGTCAAGCTAATCCCCCGATTCATTTTTGGGGCGAATTGTTCTTGGAGCAGTGTATTTGATTAATCGCACACCTTATGGTCTACTTGGAAATAAAACACCGTTTGAGGTCGTGTCTAGGAAAACACATGCGTATGACGAATTACGCGTTTTTGGGTGCCTACGTTTGCACATAATCAACGAGCCAAAGGAAATAAATTTGCACCCCGGGGACGTAAATGCATCTTTGTTGGATACCCTAATGGCAAAAAGGGGTGGAAATTATTTGATTTAGAGATGAAAGAATTTTGTGTATCTCGTGACGTCATTTTTCATGAACATGAATTTCCGTTTGCGGATCCCCCAAATGCCGATCAACTAACTCCTTTCATGCCTACTTTTATTGGATTTGATGATGACCTTAAAGACCCATCCTCTCCTGTTGATGAAGCATCAGGTGAGACTATAGGGATCACGGAAATACTGCCACCTACTTCAGATGAGTTGATTGACCCCTCGGAAGCTAGTACTACCCAACCACCTACTGAACCTACCTTGGGCCGAGGTCATCGTGAAAGGCGGCCATATGTTTTACTCCGTGATTATATCACCCATGCAACAAGTAGTATGAGTCCCTCCCCGGTCTCGTCGCCTCCATCTCCTTCCCCATGTATACCCTATTCTTTAGCACATTTTATCAGTTTTAACAAATTTTCTGCTCGGCATTGTGCTTTTATAGATGCAGTGCACACTAGCGTTGAACCGCGCTCGTTCTCTGAGGCCATGCAAGATGCTTGCTGGCGCACGACTATGGCACAAGAAATACGTGCATTAGAAGATAATGGCACATGGGAGATGACCACACTACCTTCCGATAAAAAGGCACTGGGGTGCAAATGGGTTTACAAGATCAAGTACCATTCTGGCGGAAGTGTAAAGCGTCTCAAAAGACGCCTTGTTATTTTGGGCAATCATCAGGTAGCCGACTTGGACTATAACGAGACATTTTCTCTCACATCTAAAATGGCTACGGAGCGTGTATTTCTTGCGGTTGCTGCCGCCAAGAACAGGGAAATTCCCCAAATGGACGTTCACAATGCATTCCTCCACGGTGATCTTGATGAAGAAGTGTACATGAAACTACCACCTGGCTTTACTCCTAGCACGCTCGGATTAATGTGTCGTCTCAAGAAGTCTTTATATGGGCTGTGCCAGGCTCCTCGGTGTTGGTTTGCCAAGCTTGCTGCTTCCCTCAAGAACTATGGTTTTTAGCAGTCTCACTCATATTATTCTCTCTTAACTTTTCATTGGGGCACCGTTCGTCTCTCTATCCTCGTTTATGTTGATGATTTAATAATTTCAAGAAATAATTCATCTGCTTTGACATCCTTTAAAGAATATCTGAGTGCTTGTTTTCACATGAAGGATCTTGGCTTATTGAAATATTTTTTGGGAGTTGAAGTTGCCCGCACTGCTGACGACCTTTTTCTGTGTCAAGATAAGTACTCACTGGATATCATAGCTGACGCTGGGTTGCTCGGGGCAAAACCAGTCAGTGTTCCTCTTCCGCAAAACCACTCTCTTGCTTTTGCTACAGGTGTTCCATTACCTGATCCGGAGCCTTATCGTCATCTAGTTGGGCGTCTTATTTATTTATCCTTCACACGTCCTGACCTAGCCTACGCCGTTCATATCATGGCACAATTCATGCATGCTCAACGTTATGATCACTGGGAAGCCGCTCTTTGCGTCGTCAGGTATCTTAAAGGCACTCTGAGTCAAGGTATTCTCCTCACCTCTCGTACTGACTTGACTCTTTCGGCGTGTTGTGATTTTGATTGGGCTAGCTGCCCACTTACACACTGTTCTCTTACCGGATGGATGACGTTTCTTGGTTCTTCTCCTATTTTTCGGAAAACCAAGAAACAACATACGGTTTCTCGCTTTTCGGCTGAAGCAGAATACCGCTCCATGACATCTGTTACTTCGGAGCTCAAATGACTTAAAGCACTTCTCCTTAGCCTCGGTGTCACTCACTCTCCAGCTATGCCGCTATTCTGTGATAGCAAGTCTGCCATACATATCGCCCAAAATCCGGTATTTCATGAACGCACCAAACATATTGAGGTGGATTGCCATTATGTTCGTGATGCAGTTCAAGATGGGACTATCCGTACATCTCATGTGTCTACTTCGGAACAACTTGCAGATATTTTCACTAAGGCTTTGGGTGCTCAACAGTTTCATTATTTACTTTTCAAGTTAGGCATTTGTAATCCGCATGCTCCAACTTGAGGGGGGTGTTGGAATTAAATTGTACAATTTGTATTTATTTAGCCCATATTTGTACTTAGATTTACACAGGGCCCATATTAACCACTAGGTTAATTCTTGTATATATACTCCGTATTATGGAATGAGTGGCAAGGGAAAAATTACCCTAATTAATTTGACCGGTTCTATTTTTAGTTCTTGAGTTCGTCGATGAGTTTTCAGCCAAGGGTGGAAACACACGAGCAATCTCAAGAGATTGCATGTTCAATCTCATTCTGTAAGCAGTCAATAAAAGGTTTAAATAAGACATATTGAGATGGGTAAATGAATCATATGTTAAACATGATTTTTTTAATAAATGACGCACATCAACTTTAATCAGTAAATTATAGCTTAGGAAAGTCATTTGCTCTATACGGCTAAGTTGGGAGAATTTGAGGACTGATTTGAAACCCGTGTTTATATGCGTTGATCGAAATTGTAGACTCCCCTTCTCAGAGAAACCAAGCAAGCTATTGGAGTGTCGTCGAATTTGCATTTAATATTTATTGCCACAGGATATATATGATGAGGACAAGGCCAACGGCAGTGTTCATGGCCTTCGGCACCAAAGGCGATGTCAATCCTTTGGCAGTAACTCCCTCTCCCTCTCCATGTGTATACGTTATACGTTTGAGTGTAAACATACTCACATATTTATGCGTTCAAATGGACAGGCCATAGCTGCAGCTTTCTCCCGTGATCAACGCCAATATCATGTCTATTTTGTAACTCATTCAGCACACCAGGTTTGAACACTACACCGTATCTTCCTTTTGTTCCTTTCTATAGGTGCGTGAGAGATTTGCCGACTAAAGCTGATCATCATTTAAATAAAACAGGACCACCTATGTTTATTCCTTAAGAAGGCTTATTGGTCTACTAAAAGGAGTTTTGAAGCCATGAACCATAAACATAGATAACACCATTTGAGAAACACTTTCTTATCACAAAGGCGGTTTATGTCTGGATTCAAATCTAAGCCTTGATTACGTACAAATAATGTGTTATGTTTTTGTTTTTCATTCTGGAGGATAGAGCTTGAGAGTTTATTTGGAAGCAAAGGGAGTTATGTTTGTTCCAGCTTCAACACCACCTGTTCTTTCTCCTTTACAACATCATGGTATCACAACCTACCCTGCTAGTGTTATCTGTGAACACCCATTTGGTAGCCAGTTCTAGCCTATTTTACTTATTTTTTTTTATCAACCGCATAAGAAGGGTAATCAGAATTATGATCTTCTGACTGGTTTATTTGGCTGGAGTAGATGTTACTAAAAGCTTTTCTTTTTAGAGAATTCAACATATTCAGTCATTTCTGCCAAATAACCTTCACTAAAGGGGACCTTAATCTGTCTTCAACTCATGTTTCTTTTTCAATTTGAAAACAATCACTTAATTTCGACTGTAATGAGACATGGTTTTCTCTTATCAGGTTCCATGGGGGACTCCTTCTCTAAACATAAAAAGGAACTTACCAGAAAACATAGAGAAGAGTGCATTTCCATTATTGAGGGTATATTTGGAGACGGGTCTAGCACGCACAAAGATTTTATTGCCATCAATTTCTTTGCATTGGTAACTTCTTAGCCAACTGTTTTGTGCTTGTTTAAAGAAACTTTCACGTTTTCTTTTTATTTGACAAGTACTAAGTTCATAAGACTCCACCATCGTCCCTCCAAAGGGAAAAAAGTCTTTTATGGTCACTTCGGATGGAGGATTTTGGAGGATTAAGTCTATATTTAAAATATAATAACGTTTGAAAGATTAATAACTTAGTCTTATGGATTATCGCATAGCATTTCACATACCTTTGATCGTTGTTAGAACTTAAAACTTAGATACGTTCTATTTATCAAGATACGTATAAACTAAGCCTTCCACTGTCTTCTCCTTCAAAATAAGCTGAAACCGCCTATCCAGTATCTTCTCAGTCATGCCCTTTAATCCGAGTCACCACATTAAAGTCAAATGGAAGAACATGAGAAGTCACTCTCGTCAAAATTGTAATGTTTTATAAATTATACTCCTTATTACTTTCTCGCATTTATCTAATCCAAATATAAGTGTCACAAACCTTTTATTATTTTGTCCCTTCATCTCCTTGACTAAACTTATAACTCCTTTCCTTTTTAACCTCCCTTCCTCTATCTAAACACACTCTTATTGATGCATCTGTTGTGTTTAGGAAGGTTGGAATCTGGCAGAGCTTTTCAAGGTTCGTTGTGTTGTTGCTGCTCCTTATGTTGTTCCTTACAGGTGATCCTTACATTGTCATATGATCTTGCATAAGTTTTTCAGCGCCCGCTTGAAAATTATCTAATGTGCTTCTGATTCAGGAGATGTTGTCATGAATATATGTTATATAAGTTTCTCTCATGCATATTTGAGCACCACATGTGTTTTCAAAAGTCATGTTGTATTTCAGTCAGCTAATGTTGAGTATCCTGTATCAGTTGTGTAATAGATTTGAGTCTATTGTACATGTGTGGGATGTATAAACTTCACGAGGATCCTTTCGGGATAAACCTTGCTCGCTTGTCGGGAATTCTGTTTGATGTCAGCCTGGGCACATTTGTCCACCCTTCAGTTCTCCACCTCAGCTTGGGCTGAGCAGATATTGTTGAGTATCCCACATTGTTGTCTATTGGATTTTTTTGGATCTAGTATATCACTGTGAGGTGATATACTTATAGGTGAACCTCACATCCTAAAATACTTTTAGGGAGATTTAGGCTTGATTAAACAATCAATTTGTTCAATCAATGGAAAGTAAAGTACTATTTACAATATTATGGTTTTCTTACTTCTAACTCTTGCATATGAACACAGTGCCCCTGCTTCATTTGAAAGGCAATTTAGGAGAGAGCTCCCACTTTTGTATAAGTATCTCCAGGAAGCCCCTGCTGGCAAGGTACAGTATTTGGGGGTGTTTGGATCTGATTCTAAAACTGCTTCTGAGCAGAAGCAGAAATTGGAGTGTTTGGGTAAAAGTGCAGAAGTGATTCTTATGCTCTATTTTACTCCTAAAATCAGTTTTTCTAGAAGTTGGGGGAGACCAGCTTCTGAAAACCAGCTTCTACTTTAAAGAAAAAGCAGAAGCAGAATCGGTTCTAAACACCCCCAAAATATGTGTGTGTATTTTCTGATTAGTATATACTAGAAAGGAAGGTCTATTGTTCTCATTCTGGTAAAAATTTGAATGATGTGTACACTTCATTTTCATAACTTTGTATATTTGATTATTGTAGGTTGGTTGGAAAGATGTTAATCACTGGATGTGGCCACTTTTTACTGAGGAGTGGGGATCATGGAGAAGCCATGACCTAAAGCTTAGTTCCTGTCCTTTTACGGTCAGACCAATAAGTGTTTCTCTTTCCTGATACATGGAATGGGGGTTTCACTTTGATGTGTATACAAATCACCCCTTAAAAATGCTTTAGCTGCTTGTTAAGATTCAAATCTGTTTATATATTATGCGGACTCAGGATCCAGTAACAGGTCTTCCAACATGGAATTACCGACCACCTTCTCCCATGCTATTGTAAGTTAACTACCCTGAAGAGAATGATACATTTTGGGTCACAGGAATTTAATTCATACTGCCTTGAAGGAGTTATGTTCCATCATTTGCAATGGAGCCAAAGATTCATTATTTTTTGGCTTGAGAATATGATGGAATAAAGCAAAATGACTCACCAAACTGTCTGCTCTTCTTTGTTATGAAGCAGCAGTCAGTCCATGTAATTTTGGAAGCGATTTTCATTATAGGTCATTCGGAAACAGTCTCTCTGTGCTTTAGTACAGGGGTAAGACTACGTACATCCGACCCCCCTTACCCCACCGTAGGTGGGAGCCTTTGCGGCACTGGGGTAAATGATGATTGATGATTGATTGCCTTGAAGGAGATGCCTTAAAGGAGTCCAGTTTCATATTTTTCTACTAAATTCTCATGGAATGTAAAGTGCAAAAATAACAACATCCAAGCCTTAGTCCCAAAAGACTTTGTGATCGGCTAACATGAAAAAAGATAAAAAAGAAACCAAGGCTAAGGTATGATAAAAAAGATAATATAAAATAGAGATAAGATATGCATAAAATTATTAAGATAAACGTGATAAAATGAATATATATATATATATATATATTCATTTTATATATATATATAGAGTAATCTTCCGGTCAGGAATTTCCTGACCGGATCGCCGTCCGGCCTCCTCCTTTTGGGGGCCTTCCCGGTGGTTTTTTTTGCTCAAATTTTTTGTGTATGTTCCTCATCAAGTCTAGTTCATTCATACCAAATTTCAGCAAAAATTTCAATCGGGAAGGGCGTCAAATGATTTTTGCAAGTTAACTGGTCCGGAAAATACATATTCCGGACCAGTTAACTTGCAAAAATCATTTGACGCCCTTCCCGATTGAAATTTTTGCTGAAATTTGGTATGGATGAACTAGACTTGATGAGGAACATACACAAAAAAATTGAGCAAAAAATACCACCGGGAAGGCCCCCAAATGGAGGAGGCCGGACGGGGCTGCTGTCCGGAATTTCCGGACAGGAATAATCCTATATATATATATTTATTTATCGGGAGAATTCAAATAAAAAGGAGTCTTAACGTGTAAAATGAGAATTAATCTGAGTCGTCCAATTTTTCAATCTGATGCACAATAGTCCTTATCTAATGCACTATGCATCAGATAAGGTTTGATGAACAGTGCCTGAGATAAGGACTATTGTGCATCAGATTGAAAAATTGGACGGCTCAGATTAATTCTCATTTTACTCGTTAAGCTCCAGTGCCGTAAAAGCTCCCACCTACTGTGGGGTAAGAGGGGGTCAGACTAAAAATCGCATTTTAGTCTTACCTCTGTACTAAAGCACAGGGAGACTGTTTGCGGGTGACCCATAGTGAAAATCGCGTCGAAAATTGCATGGACTGACTGCTTCATAACTATGAAGCGCAAACAATTTAGTGAGCCATTTTGCTTTATTCCATCATATTCCCAAGCCAAAAAATAGTGAGTCTTTGGCTCCATTGGAAATGATGGAAAATATATATATATATATATATATATATATATATATATATATATATATAAAGATAAAAGGATAAAAAATATAAGAAAGAAAAAGAAGATAAAGGGAAAAAAAGATGCAAGAGATTAATCCGCCACGCGGAATAAATAAAAAAAATATAATTAGGATGTCCAATTTACAGTAGTTGTATACCAAAACTAAAAGCTTGTCCCTTGCTTCATGTTTTTACTCTTTTAGGCTTTTATAATCTCATTTTCTACTAAAAATGAATATCATACATTTATTGCGTAACCAATTACTTTGACTTGGTGATAGGTATGGATTTAGCAAAGAAATTGTGGAATGTCCTGGTACGGTTGCTATGAAATTTCTCACGGGAGCTGTCTTATTTTTATTTTTGCTCTGTATTTTCTTGTCTAGTTTCCCTTACCTCTTCTTTGGTTGAAATAAGGTGGTAAAATGTAAATGGAAGAGTTCAATAAGATGTTAGGTTTGATTCAATAGAAGAGTATGGTTGAATTATTATTTTCAAAAATATATCTAAATAAAAGTGAAGTACATTTGGTACAACTTTTATCTTAATAATTTTTATAGTAATCAATATGCATAACAAAAATTCTGTAGAACAGATTTTGATGAAAAAGATTAAATGAAATTCACAAAAAGATCATTCCTCCAATATACCCCAATTTGGAGGAGTAAGCTCAAGTGCTCAAGTGAGTTAGAGGAGCTCATAGATCCTCCACTTTCCTCACCCCCTTCTTGAATCCCTCCCCTCTCATCCAAAGTCCTCCAACCAAGCAAGGGCTGATTCAAAACTTGAGCTTTTAGAGTTGTGTACTTCTGTTGTTGTTTTTACATAGCAGCTTACTGGCCATCAAGAGTCCGGGTTTGTGGTTTTTGGTTTCTTCCCATTGATCGCCTATTCTCATGTAACAAATGTTTGGAAGGATCTGCATTGGCTTCTACAGAGTTAAAAGCAAAAAATGGGTTGTGTCTTGCTCACACCAGATTGCAATACTTCTTGAGTACTTCTGAACAACACCCGCCACCAATTTTCATAAGTCTCAGTTCTGTTGGAAGGTATCTACTTTTGACTTTCAAGGGCATTGTGAACCATTTTATTTTAGTCATGTTGGTACTAGTAAAATCATCTCTAAAGGTCTCTTTGGGACTCAAAAGAAGCTACGGAAGGAGATAAAAATCAAGAGACAAGAAATCATTGTGAAAACTTAGGCTAGATCCGAACTCTGTAAATTTATTTTAAATATATCTTCTATCACATTTTTATCTATTTAGTTATTTCCCTTCATATTTTCCAACTTAAAACTAAACATAATAAAGTAATTTTCTTGGCAATTTCATCATTTCCTCAACATTTTTTCTTAGATCTGAACATACCCTAAGTGTTTCCCATTGGGAAAGTTGGTCCATCTTTTAGCTTATTAATATGTATGTACTTCAATACGTTGTTGATTTTATTCTTGAATCTTTTTTTATATTTCTGATAGAGAGTAGGAGTTCGGCTTGGAGGAAGAGAGGCCGAGGCCCCTGTGGGTTTACCGAAGGCGGGCACAGGCTTTGAGGCCACCTTCGTGGGCTGGCTGCGGGCCTTTTAATTAATTTTATTCATTTATAATTTTCTTGATTTGTTTCCTATTTGGAGTTAATTAGGAATTATATTATTTTGTTTCCTATTTGGAGTTAATTAGGAATTCTATTATTTTGTTTCCTATTTGGAGTTAATTAGGATTTCCATTTTTTTGTTTCCTACTTGTTTCCTAGTTTGGAATTAGTGGATGAGTATTTAAACCCCTATTTAGGGTTCACTCATATATATATGGAATTTGAGTGTGAAAGAGTTTCTTATTTGATGGAATTTGAACAATTTGGACAATTGAGGGGTGACATTTACAATCTCCGAAATACGGGTCTAACATTTCAATATGGTGACTATTTGAGGGACTAAAAGTGCGATTTTCCCAAAACTAGTTTCCTTGTATTTTCCTTCACCAGCATTCTCAATAAGCCCTAATGCTCAATTCTCAGATATATATTTTTACACCTTGAATCCATGCCATTTTCGGTATACCACGGCTTCTCTTTGAGCCCCCAACACTCCAGTCTGAATTTCACCCTATAATCTGAAGTGTGTTGTTGACTGTTTTATTATTTTATCATAAGACATCTTAGTCATAGACGGCTGTGCTTCCTTCTCACAGCATGGGCTTTATGACGGACCCTTGGGCATTTCTTCGGGTACTTGGACATGTTTTGGAAATCACAAGTTACAGGTTTATTCTGCTGTCAGCTGGATATAAGCCTTTAAACGACGTAATCCAACTGTGTGCTCAAGAATCATCTTCATGTTCAGAACAAACACCATGCAACAATGATGATGGAGTTTTTCTTTTCAATGGCCGGTTTCTTTCTTTACCAGGGTAAGTTATTTCCACACTGCTGTAAAAAAATTGCTGCCTCCTGCTTGAGACTGGAGAATGATATGTTTTCTGTATGTAGTAGTTCTATATCGTACCAGTGGTTGTTTCCAAGATGTGCTGCTGCAATCCATCACGGGGGAAGGTGAGAGTTGTAGTTCTTTACCCTCCCTTTCTTCTTCCATTTCCTGCATATATGATGTAGAGTATTAGTTTCAAATACTCGATTAGAAAGTTTCCACATTAAGCTCTATGACAATTAGGTTATTCCACTTTTGGTGCAAGACTATGATTTTTTTGCAACTTTTACTCCTTTGCTGTCACGTATCAGGAGAAAATGAAGTCATGGACCAAAAGTGAGAATAAAGTATTAGTAGTAGGACCAAAAGTGGAAAACTTCCTTACATATTTTCATCTCCATGCAATTTTGGCCTCAAATATCGCCCAGTGGGTCCACTGCTGCTGCACTGCAAGCTGGAATTCCTCAGGTTTGTTTTGCTGATCTACATGATCTTATTATTCTAGTATACCATTCTTTTGCTTAAATCACTGATGTTTTTTTGAACAGAGGGGAGGATTCTCTTTAACTAATATATTCTAGGAAAAATTGATAGTAATAATCCCAACTATTGGCGGTCCGCTCATAATAATCTCAACTATTGATTATTCCAGAATAATCCCAACTTTAGGGACCTTCCGCCAATAATGGTCCCTGTGAATAAATTCTTGTAGTTTCTAAAGTGAATGAGATGAGATATAACAAGTAATCCCTATAAATAATCTCAACTTTTAATTTTTACGCTTAATTTCTATTTAAAATTCACTTTTTATAGAGGTAATATCTGGTCATGGACCATTATTGGCGGATAGTCTATATAGTTGGGATTATACAAAAATAATCAATAGTTGGGATTATTTTCAGCGGACCGGCAATAGTTGGGATTATTATTTTCAATTTTTCCTATATTCTATTTGGTGGTGTTAGATTAGAAAATAGCTACATATTTACTTAAGTAATAAAATAACCATATCTTTACTTAAATAATAATACGTAGTATATTTCTATACAATTTTTCATCTTCACTTCTTATCCAACTATCTAATGTAAGAGAAAATTAATGAAATAAATTTCACTTCTCCCCTCCCATTCCCTTCAAAATCCCTCGACCAAAAAAGGTTTAATCAATATTATTACAAAAAGCACTTCAGCAGTAACTAGTCAGGGCTAGGCAGAGATTCTTTACAACAATGAGCATAACAAGAAGTAATGCCAGAATAATGTGTCATTAACTAATGCATGCTTTGTAGGAAATCTTATATCTTTATGAGCTCTGAATAATCTCCGCCCAATGTTCTGCTCAGTTTCTGTCTTTCTGATATAATGAAACTCCATACACTAACTCCGCCCTTCCATCATTCTACTTCTTATAAATGCAGACGCTCATGACTTTCAAATTATAGTTTAGTGTATAGTTCATTATTTAGAGCCCTATTACTGAAAATTACTTGGCTGAATGACTGGATTTGCTGAAATATAAAGCGTTTGATAAAATTCACTTCAGCCAAATAACTAACTCGCTTTTAGTAAGGCCTAAAATGACGGAAGCTGTTAGTAAGGCCTACAATAGCTTAATTAATCAAAAATACATTTCTTGAAGAAAATACTATCTAAAAATGAAGGAAGAAATGTCTTTTTCTTTAATTTCAGCAAAAAGTAACTCCAGCACTGCTTTTTTCCCACTATCATGCATTCATGCCGTCTACGCAGTAAAATATGTTAGAGTTTGGTAAAAAAACTGGCTGATATGGTTGACGAGTAGGATAACCTAACAGAATCCATACGTATAACTCTACCAAATGGACTTTTAAGTTGGTTGCTTTTAATTTATCTCGAATATCAGGTTATTTATGTATTCATTTATCTTGGTAGGTGATATGTCCATTCATGCTGGATCAGTTCTATTGGGCAGATAGGATGTTTTGGCTTGGGGTTAGTGCAGAGCCGCTGAAAAGAGAGCACTTGGTACCGGACACAAATGATAGCTGCGGCAGCAGCACCAAAGAAGGAGCCAAAATGCTTGCGAAGGCCATAAACTTTGCTCTCTCTTCTCAGGTTAAAAAACGGGCATTGCAGCTTGCAATCACTCTGTCTACTGAGGAGGTACTACTTTCCTTTCTCTGATCCACTGTAATGATGTGGAAGCCCCCCCCCCTCCCCCCGTGTTTCACCATTATAAAGAAAGAAGATAAGTGCCGCTTTGTATCCTTTCAATTCATTAGGATGGAGTAGCACAGGCAGTGAAGAACTTGACTGAAGAGCTTGGCGGAGGAGATATGGTAAACTGGTGAAGTGCACTTTCGCGGAAGATAAGCAAAGAGCCATCCCCCCACACTAATGGAAAGTTTTGCAAATTTTTTCTGGAACTGGAAGATCTTTCCGTGATCTTCAACATATCCGGGGTTCAATGTGACCATGTGGTGTATCCATTTATTTCCTCCATATCCCGTCAATTTGGAGAAGTCCCCTGGATGTTTTCACGACGTGTAAGGTACAGTCATTTGCTTTGAAAATCCACTAAGTTTGCAACGTGGTTAAGTTAAAACCTTTGAAGGATTGTACCACTGCCGTAATAATTAGTTATGTGTAAATGTTGTGTGGTGTGATTGTCATGTATGTTTGGTGTCTTGTTTGGACTAGATTCTTACCCGTGTGATGCATGGATCAAAATTAAGCCTCAATTATCTTTTATTATTTGTTAACATTATTAGTGAAAGAATTATATAGTCCGGTGAAAGCTAGTACGAGCAATGTTTTGAAAGTAGAATAAATATAAAGTTGATAAATAATCCTCAATCAATGTCATTGTGTTAAACATTTTATTTTTGAATAACGTAAAAGGTTGCAGAGTTGATAAATATATACTTCTCAATCATAAGCCTTGAAAAGAATTACTAAAATATGATTTTCATTTTCATACATTTTCTTCTTTATTGACTATTGAGAACGTTATAAAATTATATAATTATTATTTATTTAAAAGTAAAATATGACACAAAAGCAGACGATATAATCTTTCTACTTCACTTTTGTATCAATTAACATAAAATACATGATACGTTTATCACACCTTCCCTTGTCCTTCACTGTTATCCATAAGTTTAGAGACTTCTTACTTGTGCATGATTCGGGCCTGGGTCGGACCTAGGCCCGGCGGGCTTTCTGGGTTGGGCCCGGGACCAGCCGGGCCTCGGGTCTCTTTATATTTTTTTTTTGCTTTTTCTAATTAATCCCCGACCCCCCTCCCCTAACCCCCACCCCCAAAACACCCAGCCCAACCCGTTGGAATAAAAAAATGAAAAAACAAAAAAATTAATTTCGGCCCGAACCGGGCCTGGGCCCGGCCGGGTCTCATTTTGAAGGAACCGTGCCCGGAACCGTCTCCCCCTCGGGCCGGGTCAAAGCCCGGTACCCGGACCGGTGAACTGGGCCGGTCCCGGGCCCGCACAGTAGCGGGCCGGGCCGGTTCACAGGCCGGGTGGCCCGACCCGAGTCCACTCCTACACACATCTAGTCCGAGGTAAGCGGTACCATGTCTTGATATACTCGTACTATTGATCAAATAGATTGCCTTATAGCTAGAATTGTTAATTTTATAGCGACAACTCTTTCTCCCATTTCATATAAATATTCAAATTATTTCAATATTTATCCTCACTTCTTCATTGTCCAAAGATATCACTATCCACCCGATCGTTTAATTTTATGCACAAAAGATTCATTTTATGTCAACACAACTGAGTGTAGCCGTCCTGCCCCGTTCGGGGCATGTAATTATCTAGTATGCATTTCTGTTTGCGTGAAATCATTATCACTTGAATTTACATAAGTTTATCTCTAAATAATTAATAAAGCTGAAATACGTTTTTAGTCCCTACAAATATGACACTTTGTTTTTGGTATGACACTTTGTTTTTGGCAGGCCTGGACTCGGGCCGGGTGGCCCGACCCGGAACCGGCCCGAACCGGCACTATTCCGGCCCAGTGGCCCGGTCAGTGACCGGTCCGGGTAGGCCCGACCCGCGTGGGTTCCGGTCCGGGCTCGGGTCCCCCAAATCCTGAACCGGCCCGGCCGGTTCAAGCCCGGTTCCGGGCCTTTTTAATTTTTTTTACTTTTCGGGTTGGGCTGGGTATTTTGGGCCATTTGGGGTGGTTTGGGGGTGGGGGGGGTTAACTAGGAAAAGGAAAAAAAATTTAACAAGGACCGAGGCCCGGCCCGACCCGGAACCGGGGATTACTCGGGCCGGTTCCGGGCCCCCCATTCCAGAACCGCCGACCCGACCGGGCCTAGGCCTGGCCCGGGACCGAGCCGGCCCGAGTCCAGGCCTAGTTTTTGGTCTATGCATTTTTTTTTTTGTTTTTCATCCTTGTAATTACACTATTTTGTTTTTAGTCCATCTCTAATTATGAAACCACTATACTTACAATAAAAGTTATTGTGAGTTGCATAAATCTACTAGAAATACTTAAATTTGTCATTTTATAACTTTTTAAGGCTAATATAAGAGTTAAAACAATGTAAAACTAAGTATTCACATTTTAAAAATGTATATTAAATAAAGATTAAAATTAATTACGTTTTGAATGGCATTACAAAGAATTAGAGTAAATCTATTATTCAGAGTTATTTTGGAACAAATCGGAGATTCGGAGGTTGTTATCATCGGTGATGGACTAAAATGAAAACAACACAAATTGGAGGGATGAAAAACAAAACAAAACAAAAAAAGATTTGCAAGGAAGTAAAACAAAATACTATATAGAGGGAAACATATTTAAACCTAATAAAAGAAAATATATTAAATCAAAGTCGAATACGCTAAAAAATTCAAAAATTTAGAAAAATGTACTTAGACTGGTATAGTTAATCTATTATGTTGATAATTGAATATATGTAATGAAATATAAAGAAAGACAGTGACAATTAACCTTTCATCTCATTCAAATTTAAATATTAATATATTTTAAGCAAGCGTGGACTCAGGCCGGGCCGGGCCTAGGCCCGGGCAGGCCGGCGGTTCAGAAATGGTGGACCCGGGACCGGCCCGGGTAGCCACCGGGTCCGGGCCGAGCCTTCGTTTTTTTTTTTTGCTTTCCTAACCCCCCCCCCCCCCCCCTCGCCCCCCCCCCCCCCCAAAAAAAAAATCCCCCAAACCCCTCCTAACCATCAAGCCCAACCCGGGTGGAACCCCAAAAAAATGGGAAAAAAAAATCAATTTGGCCCAGACCCGGGCCAGCCGAGCCGGTTCGCCAGATGTAAGACCCGGCCTCCCGGGCCTAGGCCCGCCCCGGACCCGAGAACCAGGACACTCCCGGTCCCGCACAGTAGCGGGCCGGGTGGCCCAACCCGAATCCACCCCTAATTTTAAGATAAAAAAGTTTATGATTAATTATATACACAGACATTTATGTATATAAGTAGCATAATTTATTATTAATTATATACACATATATTGAGCGGGGTTAGGGAACACAAGTCAATACTAATACCTGCACCTATGGATGGACTCGGTTCGGGCCGGGCCCGGACCGGGCCTCCGGTCCTGGATTGGAGGGCCCGGAACCGGCCCGTGTAACCGCCAGGTCCGGGTCGGGCCGGGCCTCGAGCATATTTTTTTTTTTTTGCCTTTTCCTAATTACCCCCCCTCACACCCAAACCACCTCAAATGGCCCAAAATACCCAGCTCAATCCAAAAACTTAAAAAAAAATCAAAAAAAAAATCAAAATGGCCCGGACCGGGCCCGAATCAGCCGGGCTGGAACAGTGGCGAGCCGGGCCGGGCCACCCGGCCCGAGTCCACCCATACCTGGACCCACTATTGTGTGAAGGGGATAGGAGTATAGGACGGACCTATCCCACTTGCAAGATGGGGCAGGCTGGACCTGCCCCAAATGTCTTGGGTCAGGGCGGATCCTTGCGGGTCAGATGTTTTACATGCCTAGACAAGCATGCAGAAAACAACAAATAAAGGAAAAAACGTAATTTTGGTAACATTAACAATGAAAAAACGTAGTTGTGGTCCTTTCACACTCCACACACTCCATTAACAATCCTTTATGAGCCTTTTAAAATAATTGTATTAGCAAAACTAAGACATTTAAAATACGAAGAAACTAATACCCTCTAGGGTAATTATACTCACTTCTATCAAGATAGATTACCAAACACAATTTCAGCGATTTCAGCATTTTCAAGCCACTACAACCATCATCAAATGACCAAACAGGCCCATAGACTCCATAGTCCTTTTGTGCTATACAAAAATGTAACCACTAAAAAGTACACTATTTTTTGGCTTGTTATCTCCGCGCCAGATGTGCTTTCGTCTATAAACCCCACAAGTAGTGGTTGGTGCAACCATAAAACTGGGTTTATAACTTGTAAGACTACTGTTGTTGAAGCTTCTCTGATACAGAACTGCAACCTTCTTCCTGAACTAAATCCTCCAACGGGTTCTCTTCTGACCACACAGCTGCATCTGCATACCCGAGCTCGAATAGGTTATCTAGGATTTCATCCTCTGCAGGCTCCAATGACCAATTAAAGAGCTGGAATGTTTGAAAAACAAAGCACATCACAATGGCCCAACCTGATAAATGTTGGACTGTTGTTTACAGGGGTCGAGTCTTATATATTTACATATATATAGGGTTTAACTCCGGTAAGAATACCCCTTCCCGTGAGAAATAAGAACGCTCCAAAACAATGTACATTATGATTCATAGATGTGCACATGTGTAGTTAGAATAATGCACAGTTCAAATGTGCAAATTTATGGTTAAAATAATGCACAGTTCAATGTACATTGTCTAATTTATCATAGTGAATATTTTTGTTTCACATAATGCACGGTACTCAAATCCAACACACCAAAATTATTCTCATTTCTCACCTCAGATCATAGTTTCATTTGAACCAAATTCTATACATACATATGTATACAATGTTCTAAAAGACGCTAGTCGGGCACCGGCCAGTGCCTAGGCGGACGCCTAAGCGGGGACAAGTCAGACCTAGAATTATATTTTTCAATATTTTACATTGTTACGGACCTAGCCCATACGGGCCTAGTATGGGTTAGGTCCGTAACATACATACATATGATTAGTAATATTGTGTTATGTGTGTAATAAAAAAATATATACTTACATATTAACATGTATATGAATGCTATAATAATTGTAATAAATACGGATAATATTATGTACTGCGGAATAAAATTTTAAAATATATACAAATATGTATAACTTTTATCTTAATCCACAAGTAACTTTCTTCCTATCTCTTAGAAAAATTAAATAAAATGAAAAGAAAAAAAATACTCGGCAAATGCCCTAGGCGGGTTGATTAGGCGTTTCGGACGGGCGACTAGGCACCCTAGGCGGCTGACTAATTCAACTAGGCGAGTCGGTGTCAAACCAATTAGTCAGGGCACCTAGACTAAAATCGAGGCGCCCGGCCACTCCCTAGCACAACTTTTAGAAGAGTATTGATCTAGTCAAGGCTTTCTGACCGGAACCCTGTCCAGCTGCAGCCATTTGAGATAGTTCCCAGTAGATTTTTTTGATGAAATTTTGTGAGCAATTTTTTTTTTAGAACATGCTCAAAAAATTCCATCGGGAAGGGACTCTAATGGCATTGTCCGCACGGAGGTTCCTATACATACGTATGTATATGATCGAGAGTACGAGACTATATATATACATATATATATATAGAGAGAGAGAGGAATGTTCAGGTCCGAACAT